ACAAGGAGAGGAGAGGATAAAAGAAGGAGAGGTGAAAGAGAAATAAAAGAGAGAGGAGGAGGGTAAGAATGAGAAGAAAGAGAAAAAGAAGGAGAGGAGAGTAGAGGGAGAGAGAATGGAGAGGAGAGGAGAGGTGAAAGAGAAATAAAAGAGAGGAGAAGGCAAGAACAAGAGGAAAGAGAGAAAAAGGGGAGGAAAGTAGAGGGAGAGAGAATGGAGAGGGGGGAGAAGAGAGGATAAAAGAAGGAGAGGTGAAAGAGAAATAAAAGAGAGGAGAGGGTAAGAAGGAGAGGAAAGGGAAAAAAAGGAGAGGAGCAAAAATGAGATGAGAGGGCAAAAGTAGAGCAGAGTAGAGAAAAAAGAAAAGGAGAGGGATGGAGGGGAGATAAAGAAGGAAAGGAGAGGGTAAGAAGGAGAGGAGAGGGGAGAGAGAGAAAGAAAGAGAGGAGAGGAAGGAAAAAAAACAATGAGAGAGAAAGAGAGAAGGGAGAAGTACAGAGAGAGGAAATACAGAGAACAATAAATTAAGAAGGGATACAGATAGAGAGAAACAGAAAGATAAAGATAAATAGAGAGGGGTAGAAGAAAGAGAGAAACATAGAGAAAGAGGGAGAGAAAAGAAAGGAAGGAAAGGAAGGAAGGAAGAAAGGAAGAGAGAAAGAAAGAGAGAGAAAGAAAGAAAGAAAGAAAGAAAGAAAGAAAGAAAGAAAGAAAGAAAGAGAGAAAGAGAGAAAGAAAGAAAGAAAAGAAAGAGAAAGAAAGAAAGAAAGAGAGAGAAAGAGAGAGGGAGGGGAAAGAAAGAAAGAGGAAGGAAAGAAAGAAAGAGAGAGAAAGAAAGAGAGAAAGAAAGAGAGAGAGAGAGAGGGGGGGGAGAAGAGGGAGAGAGAGAGAGAGACAGAAAGAAAGAAAGAAAGAAAGAAAAGAGACAGAAAGAAAGAAAGAAAGAAAGACAGAAAGAGAACATTTAATCAGTAAAAGGACAACAATACCATCTTAAAATATTGTTAAAACTAATGACACAAAAAAAAAATTATTTTCAAGCACAGCCCAGGGAATGGTAAAGTTCACAATTAAGTTGGGATTAATGTTTCTTGCATCCGATGCAATCTAAAATACCGCATGCATAATTATATTGTAAAATGTAAAACTGAACATGGCTGCAGAGTCAGCGAGATAACATATGAAATTAGATTCCAGTGTATGCAGGGTAATAACATGTATATTATATATTGCAGTCACTGATATTTCCATATGTAAGAAAACCTTTCATGGAATTGTCACTTTATCTTTTTGCTCGTTGCACAAATAACACATTTTGCAGACAAGAAAATGAACATTTTCTAGATGTTTCTGTTCGCAGTCGATGACAGAATGCAACACATCTATAGGACTTGGAGTTGGGTGTTATGTGTTGAATGGAAAGACTTTGCTGACAAGCAGCACTCTAATTGCCTCTAATTGCCCCATTGTATGTATGTTAATATGAGCTTGAGTTTCTTCATGGATGTCACCCTGAGGATGAAAACTTTCCCCATGTTTCATTGTGTACTTTTCACCATTGTCTCTCTTAGATTTCTGCAGATATGAAAATGCCAGTAAATGCAGTAATGTGTACAGTAACCTCTACTTACCGCCATACATGCAGCGGCAGGGTGGGTGGGTTCACACCCAACAGCTGCACATATGTGTTTATGGTGTCCTAAGTGGCGTGCTGATGGTGCGTGCAGAGCAGTGTAAATCTTAGGACTAGCTGGACAGAACGTAAAGTCCTTTGGGAAAACAGGTGCCACTTATGTATTCCATATATGCATTTAGCTGTTTGCCTAAAATTTTGATTTAAAGGGGAAGTATATACAATTTGGGACAATTAATATATATATTTGTTTATTCTGAAGACTCTGCAAACTTATGTCATTTTCAATTACATTATTTTTAATACCACTTTTAGCCATCATTTAATGTTTAGAAAGCATGGCAGGCTTTCTATTAAATGCATGCTTGGAGGAACCCTGTGTGTGACTGACTAACACAGGTGCCCTGTTTTTGATCAGAGCAAGACAGGAGGAAGTATGTACATTCTATATATCTTTCTTTGAAAGATGTTTAATCTAAACCCTCCACCTACTGTTCCAATCTTATCTTTACAGCTCTATACCAGTGATCTCCAAACTGCGGTGGATGCAGCCCTTTGCTTGCTTTTATCTAGCCCTTGAGGCACTGTTAGTCTCACTAATAGGAGGCACACTTCCTCCCAATGACACTGACAGTGGGGCACTATTCCTCCTAGTGCCAGTAATAATGAGATACTATTCTTTCCACTGATACCAATGATGGCTTACTATCCCTCCCACTGCACTGATACCAATGATGGGCCATTGTTCCTCCCACTGATACCACTGATGGGACACTATTTATCCCTCTAATACTAATGATCGAGCACTATCCTTCCACAAATACCAGTGATGGGGCATTATTCCTCCTCCCACTGATACCACTGATTGGACACTATTCCTCCCACTGACACCCAATGATGGGGCACTATTCCTCCAACTGATACCCATGTTGGGACACTATTCATCCCAATGACGTCAATGATGGGGCACTATTCCTTCCACTGATACCAATGATGGGTTGGTCACTATTCCTCCCACTGACACCAACGATGAGGCACTAATCCTTCCACTGATACCAATGATAGGGCACTATTCCTCCGACTGATCCCAATGATGAGGCAATATTCCTTCCACTTATACCAATGATGGGTCAGTCACTATTGCTCCCACTGACACCAGCAATGGAGCACTATTCCTTCCAATAATATCAATGATGAGGCACAAATCCTTCCACTGATACCAATGATGGGGCACCATTCCTCCCACTGACACCAACAAGGGGGCACTATTCCTCCCACTGACACCAACAATGGAGCACTAATCCTTCCACTAATATCAATAATGAGGCACAAATCCTTCCACTGATACCAACGATAGAGCACTATTCCTCCCACTGACACCAACGGTGGGGCTCTGTTCCTTTCCACTGATACCAACGATGAGGCACTAATACTTCCACTAATACCAATGATAAGGCACTATTCCTCTCACTGACACCAATGATGGGGCGCTATTCCTCTCACTGACACCAATGATGGGGCACTATTCCTCCCACTGATAACAATGATGGGGCACTATTCCTCCCACTGATACCAATGATGGAGCACTATTTCTCCCACTGACACCAATGATGGAGCATTATTTCTCCCACTGATACCAATGATGGGGCACTATTTCTCCCACTGACACAATGATGGAGCATTATTTCTCCCACTGATACCAATGATGGGACACTATTCCTCCAACTGATACCAATGATGGGGCACTATTTCTGCCACTGACACCAATGATGGGGCACTATTCCTCCCACTGATACCAATGATGGTGCACTATTTCTGCCACTGACACCAATGATGGGGCACTATTTCTGCCACTGACACCAATGATGGGGCACTATTCCTCCCCACTGATACCAATGATGGTGCACTATTTCTGCCACTGACACCAATGATGGGGCACTATTTCTGCCACTGACACCAATGATGGGGATGATACCAATGATGGGCACTATTTCTGCCACTGACACCAATGATGGGGCACTATTTTTCCAACTGATACCAAGAATGGGGCTCTGTTCCTCCTCCTTTTTTACTCCTACTGGCCACCAAGCCTGAGAGTTTTACTATTCCCACAGGCAGCAGTCTGGATCACACCATCTTGTGGCTGCAAGTGATAGTATGACTATGTGTCTGATGAAATTTATGTTGCGCAGACAACACATCATGGCTACAAGTTCCTATGATATCCCATCAATTGCCTGACCTCTCATGCTGTCCTTTTCATACATGTAAGCCCAATTATAATAGGTCCTGTTAAAGCTCAACTGAACTTAAGTTTCAATCACATTCCAGGTGCAAAAAGTCTTACAGGTTTTTTTTTAAGAAAGCAACCACAGCCTGAATAATTAAGCTGCCCCCTGCCAGCATAGATGGACCCTTGTGCTTTGCGTGGTCCCTTTGCAAAGGTCTAACACAACCTCGCTCTCCAATCATCAATGCTAATGCCTCTTGCTGATTGGAGAGCTCTAGCCCTGATTTACCAGGGGGTGAGTGTAGAAATTCTGCAGAGAGATGACTCCTTCTGTCAAGTACCTGATAAGAGATCAAAATGGTGAGGGTGCCTCTCTTGTATCTCCAGCTTAACCTCCCTGGCGGTGTGATTATTTCAGATTTTTGGTGCTGAAAGCGGTACCATTATTTTGCATGGAAATATGTAGTTTTTTTATTGTAGGCTGTAATATTTAGGAATAACTCACTGAGATCTGTCCGAACAAGAGTCTAGTAAACATCCCGGGTATGATAAAATTTGAAACACAAAATCATAAATTATAATTTAATAAATAATCATAAAAAATAATAATATAATAATAATACATTTAATTCAATAATATAATCAAACCAAAAACACTGAAATTTGAAATATAGCGCCATAATAAGTTCGCACATTGCTGAGCAAAGTCGCAAAATCGTTTTCAGTGTCTGATGACGAATTCCCCCAAAAATCATTATCACTCAATTCTGCAAGTGGTTCTGATTTACTATCGCTGTTCTCTAGCTGATCTAAACTGCTTTTGACCTAAAGGGACACTTTTTGGACGCCATGGACGTTTCTCAGTTTCCAGGCAGAAAGAACAGTAAAAATGCAGGACAGGGCGCAGGACAAAGCACTCGGGACAAAATGTATGTGAAATTGGTTGAGACAGCAATGTTTTACTATGTAAAATGTAAAAAAAAAAAAAAAGACATTATTTAAAATTTTTAAATTTCCCGCCGCCGGCGGCGGCGGCGCCCGTACGTCCCGACATCACAGGGACAGGACACAGAAGCTGCATGCCGGCATCGGCCGAAGGAGATGGCCTGGGGACACATCGTGGGAGCGCAGGGTAAGGTAAGTGAAGAACAAATGCCGGAGCAGTGCCGCATGGTATTCCCGAGTGTAGCTCGGGGTTACCGCTCTTGGTACTGAAATGTTACCCCGAGCTACACTCGGGAATACCGCCAAGGAGGTTGATCATCACTAAGGTGCTAGAGGAACACGGGAGCTGGAAGATGTAGCTTCAGACTAGAGATTCCAACCAGGACGATCCAGCAGGGGGATCAGGAAGGAATTTTTTTCCCAGCAGGTGCAAATTGGATCATGCTTTGCTGGGTTTTTTTTCCTTCCTCTGGGTCAACTGTGGGTATAGGATTATAACTTTTTTTTTTCATATGGTGGAATGGATGGACTTTTGTTTTTTTTCACTATGGTGGAACTGGATGGACTTTTGTCTTTTTTCAGCCAGACTAACTATGTAACTATGTAAAGTGTGGACAGAAGTTCCAGCCACGTAGTCGGCAGAACCATGAGGAGGGGCAATGCACTAATAGAAAGCCGTGCATGCTGCATCTTAGATATACTTCCATCATAGAGCTGAATGGCAGCACTCCTAAAACACATGTAAAATGTACCACATCAAAAAAAAATGCACCACATAGATATGAACCAGCCCTAAGACTTTGCACACCTTTTGTTTTGATGCCCCTGGAATGTACTTAACCAATTTAAACTAATTTAAATTCAGCTTTCAAATTATCAGCCGTAATTTCCCTTTAAACCTCCAGCTGCTGATATTAGCGCAATATACAGCTTTGTCTAAAACGTACCGCTTAATAGTTTTTGAAAAGCCATCTCGGCGTTTCTGCATGCAAGACAATTGGAGCTCGCAGAATACCGCCTTCTATTTATTATCACAGAATGTGATATGTGTCAGGAATTGTATCCAATTTTCTTTCCTAGTATCTTATTAAATCAGCTTTTCTATTCCCTATCTGCTTCCCACAGATCATAAAGAAGCAGTATAATTGAAATGAATGGAATCTACGTGAGCGATGGAGGTGTTTGTATCATTGAGGATCTCCTTGTAGCTGCTGGCTTAGGTCGTTCGGCAGCCGATGTGTTGGCTTCTGATTTTTAAATCCAGTTCTTATGAATGTTTCTTCTTTAAAGATGCACTCTTGTGAAAACTGAAAGTTATTTTGTTAACCCCTTGACTCCAACGGTACACAAATATGCGGCCTCACGGAACTGGGCTTTTTTCCGTGGGGCCGCATATTTGTGTACCTGTCTTTGTGCTGGCAGCTCGACGCTCGGCGCGCTCCCAGCACAGAGACTGTGGTGTCACTGAGAGCCCGGGTCCCGTTCTAACGATCGGGACCCGGGACTCCCGATTCCAGGTCACGTGATCGCTGTGATAGCCTCTGATTGGCTATCACAATGATTAGTCACTGTGCAACCTGGCCCCCTTGTTTTTTCTCTCTCTATGAATGGAGAAGAGAGATACATTGTATTTTTCTAACTCCTGACATAGAGAGATAAAAAAAGTTTGAAAAAATAATAATAAATAAATATTAAAGAATAAAAGAAAAAATAAAGAAAAATACCTAGATCAAGGTTTGATCTAGTTCAGTGCCAGGGTTAGTGTTTGGGTCAAGGTCAAAGGTCAAGGGAGCTATCTATTACCATTTACCATCAAATGAAAGCCCAATTTGTCCTGAAAAAATGCGGTATAATCCACCTGGATGTACAAAGTAGTTGTGATGATATATACGGTTTTACTAACAAATGTCAACGTTGTAAAATTGTGCTTAGGCATTTAGATTTGTTTTACCTTTAGGCGTGAAGGGGTTAAAGAAGGTCTAAACATGAAGTGGATGAGTTTGCTAAAGCACTGAGTATAATATTTTGATTAATATACTCTGTATTGGATATATTAAAGTTGTTTGGTAATTGTATAATTTTTCTTTGATATATCTCTAGACTGCCTCGGGGTAGAATTTTCTTCCAAAAATCTCTCCCCTGAAGAAGCCTGTGAGGGCGAAACATGTAGGGAGTAACTACAACTACATAACCAAGTTTGAATCTCAGTTTTACTTTTAGTACTGAAATTTTTTTTATATTTCTGTATTTTTTACTTTTTTGTGTCTTTTACAAAAATACTAAATAAAAATTATATAACTTTTTAATATGTTTTGTATTCAGGTTCATGCACCCTGAAAGACTCATCTACTTTATTGAATATTTGCACTGAGTATAATAAAAAATTGCCTTTTTATTTTTTTTAAAACACAGCCAATCCACAGCAATGACGTGCAGCCTTCAACAAAATGGCAGCCATTTGCACACAGACACTAGCTCTCTTTTGCATAAATGTGAATGTAACGGGTAAAAGATGGCTTCAGCTCCTGTTCTCTACCTGTAGAGAGCTCCTCAGATGTGTTTCACCCTTTTCGTGGCTTAATGGTAGAGGGAAATGATTTACCCATTTGCCCATTTACACTTAAAGGAAAAAATAAACACTATTCCCTGAAACAAAAACCCACTTTTTATTGGAAGCCTTGCTCTAAAAGAATATATTAAAATGTTTAACCTAAAATAAAGGTTCTATGAACATATAATTAAGAAAAAAAACAGTATACCCCGAAGATAAATTAAAACCCCAAAATACTGCCCTCTGAAACAAAAAAGCCATTTTTTAAGGTCTTGCAGAAAAAAATGACTGTTGAAATCAAGCAAAAAAATTAAAGACAAAATGCATACAGTATTTAAAAAAAAAATGGAGCAAAGGGGTTGATTCCCCGAAGAGCTAACAATCAGAATTAAAGTACATTTTCCTAACTACCCCTATTCTTTCCATGTTCGGCTTTGTCAATTCTCTCTCTTCTTTCCCTTTTGAATACACTGATATTATGGCTGTTTTAGGCCCTTTTATAGTGAGGGGGTTGGCAGATAAAAAAAGCCCCTATTATTGTTCCTTGTAAGCCAGCTGACCTAAAATTGGCCAAACACTTTTTTTTTTCTTTTGTGTGTGTTCAGCCCACAATCGAGGTGGATGGAGGAAAATACCCACACACTGTTCAGGGGGTGGAGCGGATTAGCTACAGCCACTGATCCATAGAAAATGTTCAAAATGACCCTTCAACATAAGTCCATTAAACAATCAACTTCTGTCGAGCATGAAAGCCCACACACAGATCGAAATTAGGCTCGTCCCTACTGGGCTGCCCAATTTTTAAAAAAATTTTTTTTTTACAAGAGACCAGCCCCATTTTGATCAGTATATAACCAGGTCTGGCTCAAAGGTTCTTGCAGTGTATCCTTGTTAGAGAGAATTTGGGAGACTGAAGCCCCATATTAGTTTACTGGGACCCAAGTCTGGCTCAAAGGCTCTCGCAGCATATTATAGTTAGAAAGAATTTGGGAGACTGAATCCCCACATTAATTTATTTTGGAAGACTGAAGCCCTACATTAGTTTAATTTGGAAGACTGTAGCCCCACATTACTTTACCGGGAACCAAGTCTGGTTCAAAGGCTCTCGCAACATATTATTGTTGCAGAGAATTTGGGAGACTGAATCTCCACATTAGTTTATCCCCGACTGAACCAAGTCTGGCTCAAAGGCTCTTGCAGTATATGATTGTTACAGAGAATTTGGGAGACTGAACATTAGTTTAATTTGGGAGACCCCACATTAGTTTAATTTGGGAGACTGAATCCCCATATTAGTTTCCCTCTGGCTCAAATTAGTTTAATTCGGGAGACTGAATCCCCTGAAAATTAGTTTAATTTGGGAGACTGAATCCCTACATTAGTTTAATTTGGGAGACTGAATCCCCATATTAGTTTACCCTGAACCAAGTCTGGCTCAAAGGCTCTCGCAGCATATTATTGTTAGAGAGAATTTGGGAGACTGAATCCCCACATTAATTTAATTTAGAAGACTGAATCCCCACATTAGTTTAATTTAGAAGACTGAAGCCCCACATTAGTTTACCTGAACCAAGTCTGGTTCAAAGGCTCTCGCAACATATTATTGTTGCAGAGAATTGGGAGACTGAATCCCCAAATTAGTTTAATTTGGGAGACTGAACTGAATCCCCCCACATTAGTTTATTTTGGGAGACTGAATCCCCATATTTAGTTTATCCCCCTGAACCAAGTCTGGCTCAAAGGCTCTCGCAGCATATCATTGTTAAAGAGAATTTGGAAGACTGAAGCCCCACATTTGTTTACTTTGGGAGACTGAATCCCTACATTAGTTTAATTTGGGAGACTGAATCCCCACATTAGTTTAATTTGGGAGACTGAATCCCCATATTAGTTTACCCTGAACCAAGTCTGGCTCAAAGGCTCTCGCAACATATTATTGTTACAGAGAATTTGAGAGACTGAATCTCCACTTTAATTTACCAGAAACCAGGTCTGGCTCAAAGGCTCTCACAGCATATCATTGTTACAGAGAATTTGGGAGACTGAATCCCAACATTAGTTTACGGGGACCACAAACCTCCAATGCGCTGAAATCGCTTTAATCCCATGGTTGACCCGAAACCCAAGCCTCATCCCTGCTCTACTTCTAGTGTGCTCCTGAGTCAATTTAAATCAAATAACTCCAAGATAAGGACCACGGTAATTGCAGTAATATACCTACTCACCTAGGGTGGATGACCTTGTTTTTAAACTTTCAATGTCACCTTCTGAAAGAAACAATTGTACATGTTCATTGATCAATACAGCAATGAAAAGGCTGGTGCTCTATGGCTATAGGGATGTCCCTTGCGTGATTCACTTCCAAGATCTCATTTCTGTGATATTGATTGACCAATGATGCTCATTCATGGACATTCAATGTGCACTTGTTACTACCAGATGAAATTTCTACTTTTGTGTAGCTCTCTTTGGAAATAACCAAGCTTATTGAAGAAGAAAAATAGCGCAAACTGCTAAAGCAGTCTTGGCACGCAGCTAATGCTAATTCAAGTGCCACCATCTCATCACCATCTCAAGGTGGGTCTCCATGCTGTTGGAATCTACTTTAGTTAGAAAATCATGCATAGGAATAGATAATATGAAAAGGAAAAGAAGGTACTCTGCTTGTCATATGTCACAAGGCAAAGATGAGACTACTAAAAGAGCCCTTAAAGTGCACCTCTGCCCAGACTATGGACAATAAATGATTATTTATTTATTACAGGTACTTTATATAGCGCCATCAATTTATGCAGCACTTTACATATATATTGTACATTCACATCAGTCCCTAACCCTCAAGGGGTGTACAATCTAAGGTCCCTAACTCACATTCATATATACACATACTATGGCCAATGCAGACAGGAGCCAATTCACCTACCAGCATGTCTTTGGAGTATGGGAGGAAACTAACGCAGGCACAGGGAGAACATGCAAACTCCAGGCAGGTGGTGCCGTGGTTGGGATTCGAACCAACGACCGATTAATATATTGTTAACAAACAGTAAAAGAGTTTTAAAGTTGAACTCTCGGTAAACAACTTTGCTTTGTGGCAGCCCATGCATTACTGCAAATGTGTGGTAACACACATGTTACTGCATCTGACCCTTCATCTGTCCTTGAGACACAACTGGAAATGGGATGAAATCTTTAAAAGGTGATGCCACCAGAACAGGCTTCCCCAAGACTGTTTCCCCTCATCTTTTGTTCTGGTGACAAATGTTTGGATTTACATTACTTTCTGTCTGACAATGGTAGCTAGAACAAAAAAATAAGATGAAACTCCCCTGTCGGGGCACAGACAGCAATTAAAACTTGGCAAGGACAATTTAAGAATGTAATAGGTTCTTCAAAGAGTAACAAGCTGAAGTTGTGAAATCCTTAAAACAATTCTATCTCACAAGGTAACCAAAGTTGGTCAAACAGCTTGAGCCGGAGCTGCAGCCTAAAGATAGGTAAACGCTGGCGGCAGACCCTAACGCCTCCTGAATCCCCCTTTATATTTACATTCAAAACAGAGATTTTACATTGAACTACGGCACTGCAACTGTGAGCCAAGGGTTTGCTTTGCAGTTACAGGACAGTCCCATTGATTTTAATGGGCAAGTTTGGCAAGTGCCACTACTTGTAAGTTATAATTGGTGTACCACGATTCAAAATGGCAACATGTTCCTCTGAAGGTCCTAAAAAGGTGTTTTCTGAATAGAAGAGGCAAAGGTCAAGCGGCCCTAAGGCTCCATGCACACGGGGCATTTTGATAACGCTGGTAACATTAGCTGTGTAAAGTCACGTTAAAAAACGTGTTTTTCAGCTTTTTTTAGAGTTGTTGCATTAGCGATTAGCAGCAATTAGCGGCATTTCCTACATTTTTTTACATTTGCGTTTTTAGCATGTAAAAAAATATTTTTTTTGTCAAAAAAAACTTCCAAAATGCCAGTTTGCTGCGTTTTACCGTATTTTGCCAAGCTTTCAGAGTTTTTCAGTGTTAGAGAGTTTTTACAGCTAAAAAAACTCCTCTAGAAACCCACTAGTCCTGGTTTTTTTTATCCAGCCAAAAAATGTTGATTCCAGTCTATGTGTGCATGGACACAAAGGATAACATGCTGGGAATGGACACAAAGCTTGGGATAACATGGCTGGGGATGGACACATAGGATAACATGCTGGGAATGGACACATAGGAGAACACGCTGGGAATGGACACATAGGATAGCATGCTGGGAATGGACATATAGGATAACATGCTGGACACATAGGGGATGGACACATAGGATAACATGCTGGGGATGGACACATAGGATAACATGCCGGGGATGGACACATAGGAGAACATGCACACATAGGAGAACCGGGGATGGACACATAGGATAACATGCCGGGGATGGACACATAGGAGAACATGCCGGGGATGGACACATAGGAGAACATGCCGGGGATGCGGGGATGGACACATAGGATAACATGCCGGGGATGGACACATAGGAGAACATGCCGGGGATGGACACATAGGAGAACATGCCGGGGAGATGGACACATAGGATAACATGCCGGGGATGGACACATAGGATAACATGCCGGGGATGGACACATAGGAGAACATGCCGGGGATGGACACATAGGAGAACATGCCGGGGATGGACACATAGGAGAAACATGCCGGGGATGGACACATAGGAGAAACATGGGATGGACACATAGGATAACATGCCGGGGATGGACACATAGGAGAACATGCGGGGATGGACACATAGGAGAACATGCCGGGGATGGACACACACATAGGAGAACATGCCGGGGATGGACACATAGGATAACATGCCGGGGATGGACACATAGGAGAAACATGCCGGGGATGGACACATAGGATGGGGGGATGGACACATAGGATAACATGCCGGGGATGGACACATAGGATAACATGCCGGGGATGGACACATAGGATAACACATGGACACATAGGATAACATGCCGGGGATGGACACATAGGATAACATGCCGGGGATGGACACATAGGATAACATGCCGGGGATGGACACATAGGATAACATGCCGGGGATGGACACATAGGATAACATGCCGGGGATGGACACATAGGAGAACATGCCGGGGATGGACACATAGGATAACATGCCTGGGGGACACATAGGATAACATGCCGGGGGACACATAGGATAACATGCCGGGGATGGACACATAGGGATAACATGCCGGGGATGGACACATAGGATAACATGCCGGGGATGGACACATAGGATAACATGCCGGGGATGGACACATAGGATAACATGCCGGGGATGGACACATAGGATAACATGCGGGGATGGACACATAGGATAACATGCGGGGATGGACACATAGGATAACATGCCGGGGATGGACACATAGGATAACATGCCGGGGATGGACACATAGGATAACATGCCGGGGATGGACACATAGGATAACATGCCGGGGATGGACACATAGGATAACATGCCGGGGATGGACACATAGGATAACATGCCGGGGGGATGGACACATAGGATAACATGCCGGGGATGGACACATAGGATAACATGCCGGGGATGGACACATAGGATAACATGCCGGGGATGGACACATAGGATAACATGCCGGGGATGGACACATAGGATAACATGCCGGGGATGGACACATAGGATAACATGCCGGGATGGACACATAGGATAACATGCCGGGGATGGACACATAGGATAACATGCCGGGGATGGACACATAGGATAACATGCCGGGGGATGGACACATGGATAACATGCCGGGGATGGACACATAGGATAACATGCCGGGGAACGGACACATAGGATAACATGCCGGGGACGGACACATAGGATAACATGCCGGGGAATGGACACATAGGATAACATGCCTGGGGATGGACACATAGGATAACATGCCGGGGATGGACACATAGGATACATGCCGGGGATGGACACATAGGATAACATGGGGGGGTTTACCGGCTGTAGATAAAAACGTCAAAAGCCAAAAAACAGCCGCTGTAAAAACATCCCGTCTGCGTGAGGACTTAAAGTGGTTGTAAACCCTTACATATTCCCAGTGAAGTGACTGGCCCCAGGTAATACACAGAGATTAAACAAATCCTACATAAGTTGTAATTGTACTTGTCTATCTGCAGTCTTCTCTTCTCTACATTCATTAAAAGTGCAGAATTTATAAAGCTTGTAGAGCTGTCAAAAAAAAGTGGGGGGGGGGGGGACAACAGAAGTTACACTCTGCAGAGCTCAATAAGGAGAGCTCTGAGCACTGATTGGAGAGAAGAGACAGAACCCCTCCACAAAGCTCGCAGGAACAAGATGCGGCTGTCAATCTCCTGGAGGTCCCTCACCGTCACCATTTTTCTCTTGGTGTCAGAAAAACTTGTCAAAAGTGATTCAAGCTAATCAGTGGTGTATTTAGGTTTTGTGCTGCCCTAGGCAACACAAAATATGCCCCCCCTTGAGAGAGCCTGACATTGACAAACAACACCCCTGCTCCCCTCCCCCCCACCCACCAAAGAGAGCCTTCCACTACCATTGCCCCCCATACACCAGCCATTCCTCTCTCAGCGAGAGAGAGAAAGACACTCACCGTCACAGCTCTGGACATCCCCAGGAATGAGAGTCAAGCAGCCCTCAGCCTCTGTCAGATCCCATCTGTTCCCCAAGCCGTATGTGTCCCTTCTTCCATCCCTTCTTCTAGGAGGGTGGTGCTGCCCCCCTGAAAAATGCCACCCTAGGCAAACGCCTTGTTTGCCTTGTGGTAAATACATCCCTGATGCTGATAGCAAAGGAACGAAGCAGCAGAGAGAAATCACACTTAGTGCTCTTAATTGAGACAAGTACACACTATAGAGGGATATACTTTGTTCATACTCCATGTCTGAGGTTTACAACCACTTTGCCATCACTGTACTGACAGAGGAACTCAAAGCAATACAATAAATAGCAGCATATTACAACAAAGATTTTCAGCATCCCAGAAAACCTCTGTATGTGGTATATAAAAAATTGGGGGTAACTAGTTGGACCATGGCAAAAAATAGTTTGTCCTGAAGTTCCATTTTAAAAAGGACCTACTTTCTGAAAAAACAACAACACTTGTCTTTGTCTTAAAATTACAAATAAAAAAAAAAATAATACGTGCTAGATCATGGAGTACAGAGTTGTCTAGCTTGAAGTAAAAAGTCTCCCTTTGTCCCTCTTATTCAATATTCTGCACTTCCTAATGCTACACATTTTGAGAACCTCCATAATAGAAGTACATGTATCATAATGATTAGACTGAGGGCAGGTAAGCCTGGAGGGAGCCCACCCTTCCCTAAAGGCACAGGGGCACCCAGCATATAGAACAATGGCAGCCAAGATGTCCAGTGCATCCCCTCACCAGTATATCAACAGTACAAACTAATGGCAAGTGCCCCAATCTATAACTGACAATTGCAGCAAGGAGCACATGGAAGGGCGACATATCAAACAACAACAGAGGGGTGCCATGAAGAGGTTCTGCAGCTTACACATGTATTTGCAAATGTGTGCAAACTAAACCTCTGTTTTTAAAATGAACTGTTAAACAGGACATTTCGGTTGGTTGCAGGCTGGTTGGTAAGTTGAGCTGGGAATTTATTTCTGCCCCAATCTATAACTGACATTTGAGGCAAGGAGCACATGGAAGAGCGACACATGTCAAACAACAACAGAGGGGTGCCATGAAGAGGCTCTGCAGCTTACACATGTATTTGCAAATGTGTGAGAACTAAACCCCTGTTTTTAACATGAACTGTTAAACAGGACATTTTGGTTGGTTGCAGGCTGGTTGGTAAGCTGAGCTGGGAATTTTTTTTTCTGTTGTTGCTTGACATGCGTCGCCTTTCCATGTGCTCCTTGCTGCAAAGGCCAGTTTGGGACAGTTGCCATTTGTTTGTACTGTAGGGACCTGGAGGTTGGAGGCAGAGACATCAGTAGAAGGTTCTTGTTTATTGAAGTGTCAACCAAAAGCAGCTCCAATAAAGAGAAATCTTCTCCCCGGAGTCATTTCAAAAATCAACCCTTCATGGAATGTCAATCTCCAATGTTCTCCATTGAGCTGAATGGTTCCACTGACTTTCAGGTCAGTACCATGCCCTGTAGGGACATGGAGGTTGGAGGCAGAGCCATCAGTAGAAGGTTCCTCTTCAATCTAATGATGTTCAGCAGTGCAGGCACTGAGTATCAACTCTCTTTTTTTACAGGCAAATAATTTTTGAACAATTACATTTTTTGCATCAGGGTCCCTTTAATTAACTTCCCTTTATACCTATAACAGTGTGGTCATGGCATGTTTTATTGCTTTAAAAGAAAATAATATATAGGTACGAAATCCCTGCTAATTTCAAAACCAACCATCAGGTTCCAGATGAATTCTGTCAAATGTTTGAACGCTTCAACGCAGCCTCAATCACGACTGTGATCTCATTAGAATAAAATAACAAAAGAACAGAGCAGTTATAAACCAAAAAAAAAAATTACTCGTGTTATTTTGTTGTATAATGGATGACCTAATTATGCTTACTGTGTTATCTGTAACTCTTGAAGTTCTTTTATTCGGAATAAACAAGTGACAGATCATGACATTTTTAAAGGTTAACAACCAGAATAATAACTCTTCTGTACAGATACTCTTGTAAACTCGGCACAAATAATTGCAGCATGCACTTTGAAAGCCTTATTATCTCTTTCAAAGTTCTAGAACTCCTGTTTGCATTAAAAAAAAAGAAAGAAAAAAATGGTACATAATGATTGCTGTCATTGTTTGCTTTTGCAAAAATCACTTCCCTCTTAATATCAGATATGTGACATTTGTCAGCTCATGTAAAACCCACCTGCACTGTTCAACAAGCACTTTAAGGTAAGCTCCACTTAAAAAAAAAACTAGAAAAAAATTATGTATATAATGTATAGATATAATGATATAGATTGATAGATAGATAGATAGATAGATAGATAGATAGATAGATGATTAGATGATAGATGATAGATAGATAGATAGATAGATAGATAGATGATGATATGATAGATAGATAGATAGATAGATAGATAGATAGATAGAGATAGATAGATAGATAGGATAGATAGATAGATGGATAGATAGATAGATATAGATGATAGGATAGATGATGATGATAGATAGATAGATAGATAGATGATAGATGATAGATAGATGATTAGATAGATAGATAGATAGATAGATAGATAGATAGATAGATAGATAGATAGGATAGATAGATAGATAGATAGATAGATAGATAGATAGATAGATAGATAGATAGATTGATAGATAGATAGATAGATAGATAGATAGATAGATAGATGATAGATAGATGATAGATAGATGATAGATAGATAGATAGATAGATAGATAGATAGATAGATATGAGATAGATAGATAGATAGATGATAGATAGATAGATAGATAGATAGATTGAGATAGATAGATATAGATAGATAGATAGATAGATAGATAGATAGATAGATAAATTAAAAATTGCTTTCTGATTTAAGTCTCCAAATGTTGTATTACTTTTTTGAAAGCGTATCTAAAGTCAAAATGTGTTTTGTAGTTTTAGATAGTGTAGAGCAGGGGTGTCAAACTCCATTTCATTACGGGCCGTATCAGCATTATGTTTGCCCTCAAAGGGCCGGTTGTATCTGCAAGACTAGATGTCCAGAGCACCCCCCCCCCCATTACATCAGATGTCAAGAATCCCGCACCCTCCCTAACATCACCATGCATCCCCTTTGGGGGCAGAGCTGGAAAGCAGAAAGTGCAGGGTCTGTAGGAGGACCAGAGGAGGAGTGAAGTCAGAAACAAGGGTGTACCTGCAGGAGAGGTGCAAGGGCCACATGAAATGACCTGGAGGGCCGTATTCGGCCAGCAAGCCTTGTGTTTGACACCTGTGGTGTAGAAAGTGGTTAAAAGAGAGGTGCCCAACACGCAGCGCAGCCCGCCAACACTTGGTGTGGCCAACTGTGCCCCAGACCTCAACTCAGGTCTAGAGCGCAGCTGCACTTTGGATGACAGTAGCTCCATCTGACTTAAATCCCGCCTCTAGGATTTTTTTTAAATCACCCTGCTAGGGTTACTGTTCATTAGGTCCAGGGGGGTGCACAAAAAATAAATAATTATACACCTTATTTCTGACTCTAGTAGGGTCCCCTGTAGCCTGCTCTGTAAGCTGTGACCAGCTCCTATCATGTTTCAACCTTCTCAAATGTACAAACTTCTAGCAGTGGTCTCCAATCTGCGGCCCAGGGACCAGATGTGGCCCTTTGCTTGCCCTTATCTGGCCCTTGGGGCACTATTCCACCAACTGACACAAATGATGGGGCACTATTTCACCAATTGACACCAATGATGGGACAACATTCCCCCTACTGACACCATCAGCGGGTCACCTTTCATCTTACTGATACCAACAATGGGGGGACTATTCCTCCCATTAAAACCAATGAGGGGGCACTATTACTGGGTCATTGTCTACTCCGACTGGTAACAGTCTGGACCCCATAAAGGCTGAAGGACAGTAAACTGGCCCTTTGCTTGGAAAATTTGGAGACCCCTGATCTAGAGCACTGAGCATGTATCCATTACTGTGGCCCTGGATTTTGTGCATGTATTAATTCTCTAAAGCTGGCATCTAATGCCAACTCAGTTTAACTACAGTAATAAGGGGTTCAGTGAGCGCTAACTGATACAGCAGCTGATACACTAAAAAGGAAAAACCATAAACCTTCAAATTGACAATATAACATAAATAGTGCAGCTCTAGATGATATATGACTGCACCAGTATTTATAAGATGGTGCAAAATCCCTTGGATTAATATCAAATAGTATAGGCCACATATATTGTATGTGACCTTCCCAAAAGGTGAAGAAATGAAGTAATGACGTGTACCCCACACGGCTTCACTTCACAATAGAAACGCACAATAAAAATGCACAGTAAAAAGATAGTCCAATAATAGTCTAGTAGTCAAAAAAAAGCCACAGATAGATGTATTTTGATAAGATCCCTGTGACGCATATAGTCCGGCGTTGTGCGGAAAAAATGAATAAATTGCGCACTCACCGGAAGCACAAATTAATTGTGCGTTTATATCTCATACACCAAGGATCACTCCAGCTGTAGATGGAACGAAGCTCTGAACAAGTGATTCCGTGATGGGGGGTGCCACATCTGGGGGTCCCTTATGGTAGACCTGGCTCCAAACAGGATCAGCTGAATATTACTCTGGGCCCTGGGGTAGTCACAATTAAATTGTGCTTCCGGTGAGTGCGCAACGCCGGACTATATGCGTCACAGGGATCTTATCAAAATACATCTATCTGTGGCTTTTTTTTGACTACTAGACTATTATTGGACTCTTTTTACTGTGCATTTTTATTGTGCGTTTCTATTGTGAAGTGAAGCCATGTGGGGTACACGTCATTACTTCATTTCTTCACCTTTTGGGAAGGTCACATACAATATATGTGGCCTATACTATTTGATATTAATCCAAGGGATTTTGCACCAGTTTAACTACAACTTGGTATTTTTATGTCTGTTAATGGTATAATCCCACTTCCCTGTATGTTTGAGGCTAGTTAGTTTAGACCAGGGTTTCTCAACCAGGGTTCCTCTAGAGGTTGCTAGGGGATCCTTGAGCAATAAGAAATGCATGCCTCTCAGATAAGTTCCCACTGACAACACTGATCCTTTCAGCTATCTGTAAGGGGGGAATTCTTGCCAATGACCACAAGTGTAAGGAGTATTCTTCCCATCACACAAATGTATCAGGAATTGCAGATGTAGTAATTTTTATCAGGGGGTTCCTGAGATTGAAAAGATATTTCAAGAGTTCCTATGTGTTGAAAAGGTTGAGAAAGGCTAGTTTAGACCTTAGATAGACTTCTCACATCTTTTTCATATTCCTTAAGTTAGCTACCAGTCTTAAAGTGTTACTAAACCCACAACAGTACAATCAGTCTGTATATGCAGTAAAGCATGCTTGTTATACTCCCTGTGGAACCTAAGCGGTTAATCCTGTGTGTAAAAAGGCTATTTGATCCTGTCTTCTCTGATCCTCCCCTTCTTCTACTGTCCCCAATCCATCTGCTGATAGTACAGAGCCCTAGGAGTCACTCTGCTCATGCTCAATTTAGTGTGTATTGCTAGAGAGTTTTGTTTTCCTTGGAGAGTACATGTGATCAACACAGGTCCAATCAGCACTGTCCAGACAGAGGACAGAGGTTTTGCATCCTCCTAGAGCACTCACTGTGGAACCTAAGGGGTTAATCCTCTGCATTGTGTAAAAAGGCTGTTTGATCCTGACTTCTCTGATCCTCCGCTTCTTCCAATGTCCCCTCTTATCTCCTGATAAGACATATGTATGGAGACACTCTGCACATGCTCAGTTTAGTGTGTATTGCTAAGGAGGTTTTTTTCTTTCTTGGGAGAGTGCATGTGATCAGCACAGGGCCAGTCAGCACTGTCCAGACAGAGGTCAGGGGTTTTGCATCCTCCAGGATCAGAAAGAAAACTCCTCCTACGAACTTGAACCAATGTTCTGCTGAACACTGATAGAAGTCATAAGACTGCTCTAACTGCTGATGAGAAAAAGGTATTTAGCAGTTTATAGTTACTAAAATAATTGCACTTCTATGTTCCATGTACTGTGGGAGACCAGATATAGTGAATGCAGGGTCCGGGAGACCAAATAGAGTGAATGCAGGGTCCGGGAGACCAGATAGAGTGAATGCAGGGTCCGGAGCAGGGGTGGACTGACCATGTGGGCAATCGGTCACTGCCGAGATACCCCTGGTACCTTTCATGGGCTTTTTCATAGGCTTTTTTGGGGTGTGGACTAGGACACAGGGGCCCCTTGATCCCCATTGCCCGAGGGCCCCATGAGTTGTCAGTCCGCCCCTGGTCTTGGGTTTAGTAACACTTTAATAACGGGCATAAGGCTGAGAAATTTATTTGCTCTTTACACTTAAATAACCAGTGATATCCTACGTACTGCATTTTAAGAAGAAAACTACACTGGATCAAATTGCCGTTGAAAGTGGATCAAACTTTCTTATTGGAAAGTTTCATTGGCTGTCAAGAGTGCTCATTCAATGGGTGATCATACTGGCCTGATGGACCAAGGTCTATAGAAGGTTTATAAAATGAAATTAAAACATGATGCTGCACTACTCAAAAATATTTTCTTATAACCAGATGCAACTAAAAGTAAACACCCCACAGAGCACTTGAATCAATAATAAGTGATAATGACATAAACCATACTAAACCTATAGTGATGAAATGAATCCACCAATAAATATGACTGACAAATAAATATTTAGAAAATAGTAATAATAATTTACATAATACAAAAATAATCAAACTGATAGCAAAGTGCTTCATAGTGACAAAATAATTATAAGTGAAATCACATAAATAGTGTAAAGTCCCAATTTGTGCATAAACAAAATCTTCAATACACTGTGAATCCACCAGTGACCACAGCTTGTGCTCCTCCACCAGCTAGCATGAGCGCTCACCTCCAACTCTGACCCATAAAGGGTCATACCCGCTTAAAATTAATATGCTGAGCAGTGATATCCTCAGATGTCCCCTCCGTGATGTATCAAAGGAATCCTCTTATATGGACCAAACTCCAACTATGACCCATAAAGGGTCATACACTCTTTAAATGAACGTACTCCGCAGTTTTTAGTCTCAGATGTCCCCTCCGTGATGTATCAAAGGTATCCTCTTATGTGGACCAAACTCCAACTCTGACCCATAAAGGGTCATACCCGCTTAAAATTAATATGCTGAGCAGTGATATCTCAGATGTCCCCTCCGTGATGTATCAAAGGAATCCTCTTATATGGACCAAACTCCAACTATGACCCATAAAGGGTCATACACTCTTTAAATGAACGTACTCCGCAGTTTTTAGTCTCAGATGTCCCCTCCGTGATGTATCAAAGGTATCCTCTTATGTGGACCAAACTCCAACTATGACCCATAAAGGGCCATACACTGTTTAAATGTATGCACCCAGCAGATTTAGCCTCAGATGTCCCCTCCTTGATTTCTCAAAGGAATCCTCTTATGTGGACCAAACTCCAACTATGACCCATAAAGGGTCATACACTCTTTAAATGAACGTACTCAGCAGTTTTAGTCTCGGATGTCCCCTCCGTGATGTATCAAAGGTATCCTCTTATGTGGACCAAACTCCAACTATGACCCATAAAGGGCCATACACTCTTTAAATGAACGTACTTCGCAGTTTTAGTCTCAGATGTCCCCTCCGTGATGCATCAAAGGAATCCTCTCACATGGACCATACTTGAAAGAATAAATCACTTTTTTCCTTCTCACCTCTGCCCTTCTCTCGTTGTCATACATGGAAGTAATGTTAGGGAGTTAGGGAGTAATGTTCCCCTTTCAGAGTTTGATCATGTCTCATCTCCCTTTGTTCTGAAAAACTTCCAAATGTCTCCCTATGGTTCCTCGTTACATGTTTTTTATACGATATTCCTTCCCTGTTGTATGGCAACCTGCTCCCCTTTATCCCTCTCTTTTTCTTTGTACATGTCATATTTCACATGACTGTTATATGACTTTAAGTGTTCTTTGTATTTTGTCTCTGCTCCTCCCTTTCCTCAGGTTTAGTTCATACCACAGGGTCCCATACAGCCAAAACCACAGCCCCCCCCCCCCCCCCCCCCCCATACAAAAAAAAACACAGCTTACTATGCTTTAATTATGAATGAACACAGTTAGTGGTTGGTACTGATTACTCATTGTGTTCATTCAGGAAAGGAAGGTAACTGTGACATATTTATCGGACCCTTCCCACACTCTCCATCCTGAAGGATCCTGCTGTGTGCTTGCAGCTGCCGGCGGAAAGGAGAGGAGGGAAGCCAACATCACTGCCGGGATGGGGGCACACTGGAGTGCCTGGGCAGCAGGAGGAAACATATGGTACACAGGGAGGGTGATGGGTGTGATACGGCGCAGTTACTGGAATTGATCCCCTGTATGGTTCTCTCTGCAGCAGCTGAAAGCCAGCAGGAGGGAGAAGAGAAAAAGCCAGCTTTCAGCTGCTGCAGAGAGCGCCATACAGGGGATCGGTTCCAGTAATTGCCCCCCCCCCCCCCCACCGTGCTGATCACCCTCTTTGCCCACATCTGATTCACCCAGCTGCCTGGGCCCCCCTGTTGGCCTGGGCCTCATACAGAAGGACTGGTGGTACCCCCTTATCCACGGCCATGCCTGCAGCAATGGATCACTGCAAGAAGAAATTTGTTGCAGCAGAGCTGCATGTGGGAGAGGGGGGTCTGGATCAGGTCTTTACTACCCAAATTCAGCTTCCCCAAGAAGGATAAAAAAGGTTTAAAAAAATGGATTAATAAAAAGGAAGCAATTCTTTATATTAGCCGTAAAATAAATATTCTCTCCAAAATAATCATCAGTTAGTAAGAAATACATTGGATATTCAGGATACGTTCACTATGTAAGTATCAAACACTTGTGAGTGCAGCATTATGCAGCAATTTAATGATTTGCAGACCTGTAAAATGTTGTTGATTGTGTGCTCACTTCTGTCTGTTGAAACCTGAAGACCTGACATGGGTTTTTGTATTTAACGTGTTCTATTAATAATGTGTTACTATTAGAGATGAGCGAAAGTATTCAAAAATTTCGATTCGGCTGATTCGGCGAATTCGAGGAATAAATTTGATTCGAGGCGAATATAATTCGCTGCGAATTTAACTTATTAAAAAGGGTGTTTCTAGGCTTCAGAGAGCCTTTATATTAGTGCAGAACACTGTACCTTTAATTTAAATGCCCTTAGGAGTCTGCTGGGGAAGAGAAATAATACTGTCAGTCAGTATGACATGCAGATGAGTGCCGTCGATCTTAGAATCACCGCACACTTCACTCATTTGGGCAGTCACGGGGCCAAAACCAGAGTGTGGAGCCACAGTGTGGCGGTGGAGGCAGCAGCAATGGGAGGCCATACAGCACCCTATGACAAAATGGAACCCACCAGCAGTGTGAGGAGACCTGAAAGTGGCACATGGCAGAGTGTGGCGATGGAGACAGCAGCAATGGGAGGCCGTACAGGGACCCATGACACACTCTGGACCTGGCAGCAGCATGAGGAGGCGGTACAGGGCCCATGACAGATTACGGGCCTGGCAGCAGCATGAGGAGTCGGTACGGGGGCCCATGGCAGATTACGGGCCTGGCAGCAGCAATGGGAGGCCATACAGCACCCTATGACAAAATGGAACCCACCAGCAGTGTGAGGAGACCTGAAAGTGGCACATGGCAGAGTGTGGCGATGGAGACAGCAGCAATGGGAGGCCGTACAGGACCCATGACACACTTCTGGACCTGGCAGCAGCATGAGGAGGCGGTACACAGGGGCCCATGGCAGATTACGGGCCTGGCAGCAGCATCCAATGGGAGGCCCGTATCTGCCAGCCCTATGTCCACAAAATTACGGGCCTGGCACCAGCATGTGTGAGGAGACCTGAAAGTGGACACATGGCAGCAGTGTGGCGACCTGGAGACAGCAGCAATGGGAGGCCGGTACAGGGACCCATGACACCACTCTGGACCTGGCAGCAGCATGAGACGACAGCGGTACACATGGCCCAGGCAGATTACGGGCCTGGCAGCAGCAATGGGAGGCCATAATCTGCCAGCACCCTATGACAAAATGGAACCCACCAGCAGTGTGAGGAGACCTGAAAGTGGCACATGGCAGACTGTGGCGATGGAGACAGCAGCAATGGGAGGCCGTACAGGGACCCATGACACACTCTGGAACCTGGCAGCAGCATGAGCAGGCGGTACAGAGGGCCCATGGCAGAGAGTGGCGAAAGCGTGGATGCAGCAGCAATGGGGAAGGCCATACAGAGGCCTATGTTAAAAATAATAACATGTTTGGGGCATGATTCATGGCGGATTTAGTCAGTTGTGTCAGGAACTGGTGGTTTGAAATCCAGACTAATCCACGCCTGATTCATTTTCACTAAACGTGAGTCTCTCCACACTTTGGGTGGACAGTCGTGTCCTCCGCGGAGTTACAATACCTCCTGCCGCACTAAACACGCGCTCCGATGCCACGCTACTGGCCGGGCATGACAGCCTTTCAAGGGCAAATTCAGCTAGTTGGGGCCAAAGGTCAAGTTTCGTTGCCCAGTAGTCAAGGGGATTGTCTACCTCGGTTGGCAGGGTGCTGTCCAAGTAGGCCCAAGCCTGTTGTTTGAGGTCCTGCTCCAGGTCCACCTGATGCTGCTGCTGCTGCGGCTGGTTAGTAGTTTCCTCACTGCGCTGGTGAAGAAAGCTACTCATCATCGACTGCAGACTGAGGCAGCCGCTGCTGGTGGAGCTGCCACTGCTCCTACCACCCCACCCCTCCCCTGCTGCCATGGCAGCGGAACGCGAGCGCACAGGGCCCACAGTGTCTGAGGATGGACGTTGGCGCAGAAAGAAAGGCAGAGACCAACTGACTACATAGGTGGTTTTTATAGTACGTTATTTTGGCCTCCCTCTCAGCAGGTGTGAAAAAGGCCACCATTTTTGAACGGTAGCGAGGGTCCAACAAGGTGGACAGCCAAAAGTCATCCCTCTGTCTGATGGTTATTATTCGGCTGTCGCTACGCAAGCAACCGAGCATGCTATGGGCCATTTGTGCCAAGGAATGCGAGGGACTCCCTGCCTCCATCTCCACAGCATACTGCCACGGTGCGTCTGGGTCCTCTGTCTCCTCCTCCTCCTCCTCTACCAGATGCTCCTGCTCCTCCACTCCTGTCCGCTGAGTGGAAAAACCACCCATTTCACTCAATAATTCCTGAGCACCAATGTCCTCCTCTACCTCCTCCTCTTCTTCCTGTCCTGCCCCCACAGGGGTCATGTGGCGTTGAGATCTGTGCGCCACGTCTTACCGCACCCTGACCAGCCATTGTTAACAGCATTTGTTCCAGGACGTGCAACAGAGGAATGACGTCGTTCATCCATAGTCCTGCCGACTCACGAATAGCGTGGCCTCCTCAAAGGGCCTGAGCAAGCGGCAGGTGTCACGCATGAGCTGCCAATGGCTGACATCTAAGTTACACAGGGGAGTACCTTTATCCGCTTGTAACATCAGGAGGAAATCGGTGATGGCCTTTCGCTGTTCGTAAAGGCGGTCTAACATATGTAGGGTTGAATTCCACCTTGTTGCAAACGTCGCAGATCAGGCGATGCTGTGGAATTCCGTTCTGCCGCTGCAGCTCAAGGAGGGTGTGCTTTGCGGTGTAGGAATGGCTGAAATGCATGCAAAGTTTACGTGACATTTTAAGGATGTCTTGCAGTGGGATGGTGGATTTTAGGAACCGCTTGACAACCAGATTGAACACGTGAGCCATGCATGGCGCATGGCACAACCTTCCTTGACGCAGAGCAGACACCATGTTCTTTCCGTTGTCGGTCAACATGGTTCCGATTTTCAGTTTGCGCGGAGACAGCCATCTGTCGATTTCTCTGTTCATTACACTCAGAAGTTCCTCCCCTGTGTGACTACGTTCGCCAAGGCATACCAGGTGCAGCACAGCGTGACACCGTTGCGCCCTGCACATGTGATATGCCGGTCGGGTAATGGGACTTGGCACGGGGGGTGGCGGCTGAGGACACGGCGGAAGAAGAAGAGGTGGTAGAGGCGGACATCTTTGCTGGACCAAGGACGTGCAAAACGTGGAGGCAAAAAGCGGCGTGACCTGTCCAAGTTGCTGGTGCGGCTGTGCCGGCACCACGTTCACCCAGTGGGCCGTAAATGACATGTACTGTCCCTGACCGTAGTTACAGCTCCACACGTCGGCGCTGCCGTGCACTTTGGCAGAGACCGACATGCTCAAAGACTGGCCCACCATCTCTTCTACATGTGAATGCAGGGCTGGCACTGCCTTTTTGGCGAAGAAATGCCGGCTTGGCACTCTCCACCGCGGCTCGGCACAAGCCATCATTTCTCGGAAAGGTGCTGAGTCCACCACTTGGAAAGGGAGGGACTGCAGCACCAGCAACTTGGACAGGAGGACGTTCAGCTTCTGCACCGTCGGGTGCGTGCTCGCAAACTGTTGTCTCTTGGAAACGGATTCCAAGAAAGACTGCTGACGGAATCCGTGAAGAGGAGTAGCAGGAGAAGGAGCATCTGAACGAGCGGAAGATGCCAACGAGCGACAACTCCCCTCAGCAGAGGTGTTGGAGCCTTGACTGGCTGATAGAGGGCGATTGACGTCGGGTGACGGAGCAAGTAACGGAGCGGGTGATGGAGCGGGGGCTGGGGCAGGCAGAACCGCCGTATCTTTATCACGGTTTTCCCAGGCCACCGAATGGCGACGCTGCATATGCTGACGACGCAACGCTGTGTAGTCCCAACATGGGCCCCCTGGCCACGCTTGACTTTCTGGCCACATAGTCGACATACGGCTACGTTTACTTCCTCGGGCGGCTTGACGAAAAATTGCACACCGCCGAGTAGGAAACTTTGCCCCCGCTACTCCTCACTGGCTGACTGCTACTTCCTCCGTGCACACCGGCACCACTACTGGCCGTGGTGGTAGGCTGCAGTGGAGCTGGTGCTCTACTCCGTGGCCGTTTGCCTCCACTGACACTGCTGCGACCCTGCTGCCTCCTGGGCAACCCACCGACTGTTTTGCTCGCTGCCAAGCTGGGCCACCCTCTTCTCCTGATGATGCGGAAGCAATAGCCTGATGACGACGAGGCTGCCAAGTGCGATCAGCCTCATCATCATCAATTAGGGTCTCCGCCTCACTACTAGCCCCCTCGGCTGCGTGTGGGTCAGGAGACAGACCTGTCTCTAGACCGGCTACCGAGCCACTCTCCTCGCCAGTACTTCTTCGCCTGGCTGCTGAAGAGGCGGATGTCTCCCCCGTTCCTGACCGCCCTCTGTTAGCTCTTCCTCACTGTACAGTGGGGCTGAGCCCACAGCATGCGATACTTCGCTTGGTGAGGGAACACCAAAGGACAGGGGCAGGTAGAGGACACGTGATTTCAGTGGGCTTGCTCCCGGGCCATGCCAACTAACGGTTGTGTCTGACGTACCCACCGACCGTTGGCTGTAGGTGTCAGAGGTGACCTGGGAAGAGGAAGACGACCGAGCCAACCAATCGATGACGGCAGGGTTGTCGGTGGAGACACGACCGCTGGATGACACCAGGGAGCACTGGCCTCTGGCTGCGACTAGTGCTGCCTCGACCCCCTTCCTCTGCTGCCACGTCTGCTCGCTCCTGAAACATTGCCTCCTCTGCACACTCCTCTGCGTGTTGTCTGACATACTCTTTAATTCTTTGTTCAATAGTGGTTGTGAAGCAGAAAGGTAACGATTCTGTGTCCCTGAGTAACAATTCTGTGTCCCTGAGTAACGATTCTGTGTCCCTGAGTAACAATTCTGTGTCCCCTGAGTAACGATTCTGTGTCCCCCAGTAACGATTCTGTGTCCCCAGTAACGATTCTGTGTCCCTGAGTAACGATTCTGTGTCCCTGGAGTAACGATTCTGTGTCCCTGAGTAACGATTCTGTGTCCCTGAGTAACAATTCTGTGTCCCTGAGTAACGATTCTGTGTCCCTGAGTAACGTTTTCTGTGTACCCTGAGTAACAATTCTGTGTCCCTGAGTAACAATTCTGTTCCTGAGTAACGATTCTGTGTCCCTGAGTAACAATTCTGTGTCCCTGAGTAACGATTCTGTGTCCCCTGAGTAACGATTCTGTGTCCCTGAGTAACGATTCTGTGTCCCTGAGTAATCGATTCTGTGTCCCTGAGTAACAATTCTGTGTCCCTGAGTAACAATTCTGTGTCCCTGAGTAAAACGAATTCTGTGTCCCTGAGTAACGATTCTGTGTCCTGAGTAACAAATTCTGTGTGTGTCCCTGTGTCCCTGAGTAACGATTCTGTGTCCCTGAGTAACGATTCTGTGTCCTCAGTAACGATTCTGTGTCCCTGAGTAACGATTCTGTGTCCCTGAGTAACTGTGACCCTCAGTCGTGTGTCCCTGAGTAACGATTCTGTGTCCCTGTAACAATTCTGTGTCCCTGAGTAACGATTCTGTGTCCCTGAGTAACGATTCTGTGTCCCCAAATTCAGTCTGTCCTGAGTAACGATTCTGTGTCCCCTGAGTAACAAATTCTGTGTGTCCTTCTGGTCCCTGAGTAACGATTCTGTGTCACTGAGGAATTCTAAGATGGCCGCAATTTATAGCTCCACCATTACACAGTGCTGGCTGGCTGGCTGCCTGATTGGCTAATGCGATTTCACATGTCATGAATGAATGCATTATGGGGTCAGCGCGCCTTGTCTGCGCGCCTTCCCAGAGATCCCGCTCTCCGTCGCCACACATGTCGCGCCATTTTTGGAAATAAAATTTCGAT